GGTTCTCAGCAGTTGAGAGTTTGCTACAGTCAGAGCATGGAGTTGTTAGAGAGCTCTTCTACCTTCCCTGCTGCTCTGGAGTACTATTACAGCTAATTTTCCCTTTGAAATAATCTGAGGGGGGGGGATGTGCTGAATACCTTGATGTGTTGATACCTTGAAAACCATCCTGTTTCTTCCTTAGCCTTCAACGTGTGTGTTTTCTGTTTCAGATTTAATCTGTAATCCTATTTTAGCAACTTTTCCTCAACTCATGGATCAACCAGACCTCCTGGATGCACTTCGGGTATGTTACCTACGTAGCGTTCAATTACATCTGATGTGTCAGGATTTCCAGAGAGTTTGCAAACTTTGAGCTTTCTTTTATCCTGTGAAAACATAGATAGAAAAGCCAAACAACAGAAAAGGATTATAATTGTTTCCAGTACGTGCAGATCTCTCATGTCTTAGCGCCTTCAAAACTGCAAGAGAACTCTTGAGTACATCAGAAGGGATGCAAAGACACGAACGGGCTAGTTTGAGCACAGCTGGCTGTGTAGGCACAGCAAGAGAGCGCTCAGGTGGATTAGCTGGCTGGCTGGCTGGCTGGCTGCTAGGACAGCCCTGCTTTCATGACAGGCAGGAGCTGAATTAGCTTCTGGGACAGCGCTCACCATATTTACACTGCGGTCCCTCGCAGGTGTCCTACCACCAGGCAAGAACAGCAGAGCTGTTTCTGCCCAAAGGACACTACTGGTAGAAGCTGTCAGTCTTTGGGGCTGAGCTGTATTTCTCCATGCTTGTAGGGTGGAAAAAAAGATCAACCTCAGTTGTGACTGATTTTTCTGAAAATTGGATCCTCTTGATTTCATTTATATGGCTCTGATAGTTTCAAATCTCCAAATTCTCTCATCTGTAAAATTTGGTAGAATGGCTGTTTGCTTAAATCAACTAAACTGGCACAAAGGAGGAATGGGGAGTGTGAGGAAAGCAGGACTGCAACAGGAGCTTAAACGACTGTGGGATTCCAGTGAGAGAGATTTTTTGCAGCTAAAAATGGATTTGCTTTAGATCTCCACAATCTCAGTCTAATTTTACCTTTTATTTGATTTTAGAGCGCTTGGGCAGATAGAGAAAGAACGCTGAAGAGATCTGAGAAGGTAACAGATGACAGGTTTTTCTTTGACATGCATTCAATCTAATTCAGACTACAAGCTTTTTGTCAGTGTTATTGCTAGGTAAATTTTCCTCTCACCATACATTTGTTTAGAAAATGCAGATATGCTAAATGCAGTTCTTAACATTTCTTACCCATATTTATAACAGTAAACTAGGAGAAGAAGGGAAATGAAATTAACTTGCAACTTTTTGTCTCTGTGTTTGTATATGGTTGTTCATGGGGAAGCTATTAACAGGTTCATAGCCAAAGCGTGCCTCCCTTTCATGGTGTGCTTCCAATACTTGACCGGAAAAAGCTTTCCACTGGTACAAAAGGGGCTGTGTATGTCCACAAAAATAATCCTTCCTTCTCCCACCTCTGAGCTCCAGTCCTCCCACAGTCTACCTGGAAAAAGGCACCCAAATTCTGCAAATCTCCCTACCTCAGACAGTTGTAATCTCCCATTTTGGCCTGTAGACAGCTGGAGAAGAACTCAATTGGCCATGTCACCAGGCTTACCCGTACCTTGTCCTACCTCCTATCCTCTGGACAAAGAGAAGCTGTAGATAACTTCTTGGGAGCAGCAGCAGGATGTTTCATTCATTGTGAATGCTACTGAATAGATACACCAGGAGAGCTCCCCGTTTACGCAAACAAAACAAAATGCTGTTGAGTCAGAATTGCTTTTTCAAGGCCATTCATCCAAAATGAAAGCTGATCTGCTCAAAGAATTAGTAACTCCTCAGTATCCCAGAACCATCCAGTTTTACCTGATTTATCTTGTGCCACTCCCACGGCAGGATTGCTGCCTGGTGAATTCTTAGCTCCTTCTTGCATAGTTCTATGATGCTGAGCTGCTAAATCTCCTGCTGAGACATGAACTGTTCAATGCCAGTCATAGTGCTCACGTTTCTGGAAGAGTCTCAGTGGTCAATGAGTTTTCCAGGAGGCTGTGCTTTATGTGTGTCCTTCTTGCATGAAGGGGTTTTTCTAGTGTGCGTGTGGAAAATGAGGCACACGAATCTTGTCTAGTTAAAGTGGTCGATGTCTGTCAGTGTTTGATAATTGACCAGGCTGATTCTTCATCTCTGGGTTTTTGCAAACTGGTCTTTACAGGGGAGGGCATAATCTTTTCCACATACAGAATGGCCTGTCAAAACTGTGAAATAACAGGACTTACGGTGTGGCCTTGCCTTCTGCTAAGAGCCGTGTGCTGTGCAGAGCGTGGGATTGTTGCAGCTCTCCACCTAGGGCAGTAGAGAAACGAGTGGAGTTTGGGCTTCCAAGGTGGGGAGGATGTGGCACTTCCCTGGCGGCCACGGCAAACGGTCTCAGACTGTACCTGCAGAGGCTGTGGGGAACAGTTGTCACATGCTGATCTTTTTAGGAAGAAATATAAATACCCCATGAGCACAGGGCTCTCAGTGACCTTTGTACAGACTGCCATTTTGTGCTAACACTGGCAGGGTTTTGCTGCGTATTGCTGCTCTTTGGCGTCTGGAAAAGTAAGTGGGTTGGAGAGTAGATGTGTCAATCTACAGTTTATATAGCGTAGTTCTCGGTGGTGAGTTTGAGGCTCATCTGAGGTAACTGATGTTTGTTTAGGAAGGTCGGATCTCTTCCCGTTGTTATCCTGGGAACTGGGGGTTAGTTGAATGTTTCCTTGTTTGTTTTGTTGTTTTGGTTTTTTTCCCCCGTATACAATACTTCTTGGAGAAGTGCTTAGCAACACCACGTATTTGCACTGAAGTATTTTCAAATACTCTTCTCTGCAGCGAGATCAAGAATTTCTGAAGTCTCTGTTTGTCCTGGTGTACCACGACTCTGTCTTCCCTCTCCTCCAGTCCACTTTCCTCCCTGACTACAAGTGGGCTGAGGAAGAGTCTGAAGCATCTCGCTGGAAGGTGATTGCTGACTTTTTGAAAAAGAGCCAAGAGAATGATGGTGCACTTCAGTATCTGCTGTCATCAGAAAACACTCACAAAGCCTTTGATATCTCGGAGCTGGCTTACGATTTCTTAGGAGAAGTGGGGAAAAACAATCCTGGAGTATGAATGGATTACAGAAGAACAATTCAGGGTATATAAGAATGGGGTACCAATATAAATAAATTCTTACCAAAGAGAAACTGTGTACTATCTGAATTGTAATGAATATTTTAACATTTAACATTTTGAGAGAGACTAAAGTTATTTTATCAGTTTAACTAATGGAAATTGTATTTTAAATTTTTGAGTCTGCAATGTCAGACAAGGCTATGGTTGTCTGTTACTACATGCACCTGTTGTAGCCCCATCGAGTGTCGTATTTTGCCTAAGCTGAGCAAATACTGAGGTGGCACTTTTTTCCTCTCATGCAGCTTCCAATTAATTTCCAGTTTTGTTTTAATCAGGGTGAACAAAAGACTCTTTGTCACACTACCCCAGTAGAATGGTAACTGGTAAGGCAAGAAAAATGGCAATGATCCTTAAGAATGCTGCTGAGCAAGGTCAGCCAGGTTAAGGAAAAAAATCATCTCGTGGCCAGCAGGTTGCTCTGTATTTGTTTTACTGTTTTTTCTTTCCCACTCAGGAAAACATTGGGTTATTCATAGGAATGTGCTTGACCCACCTAATACAAATAAAAGCTGGTGAGCATTCAGGGCACACCGCATTTCCCCTGTGCACGGCTATGCCATATGGTAGCTCCCTCCCTGCTGACTTTGCAGGCCAGGCTAACGAGCTGTGGGGTATTCCTCAGGTGGACCGGGATGTTAAAAGCTTCCTTTCCCTGAGCAGTTTGTAACCACAGGCTGCATGTGCTGCCCACTCCCGGCGGGAAGTTATTAATCCGATTTCTCTGTTGTGCTGGAGTGTCCGGATGCTTTCTGCATGGTGCTGGGTACGTTGCCACCATGTCCGATGAGGCAGGCAGGCCCCAAGTCACACGTGGGTTTAAGTCCAAGCCACAAGTTCCCCCCAGGCCAGGAGGGGCTTGGACAGTAAGAAACATCACAGATTTGATCTTTGCTCCGTATTGCGCAAGAGCTTGGCACAGAAGCCAAGTCCCTAGGGCACCGCTTGGCTCTCCTAACATACAGAGGGATAGGGTATCACCCTCCTCCCGCTCTAGCATATTGCCTGAGTTGGTGGACTCATTCTGTCCTCTCCAGGGCACGAGGCAGAGATGCCACCTTCAGCTTTTTATCCCACCAGTTACAGTGAGTTATGGGGTGAGGCAGAGCCCTCTGGAAGAAACAGCAGGTGCTTGTCAAATCCAAAGCGCATCTGGCAGGAGGTAGAAATCCAAGCTGTCCCGGTAGTTGTCCTTCAGACCTTTCTAAGCCCTTACAAGCAGGCATGCAAACTCTCCCGTCTTTTACCAGTGTGTTGAGTTGTCTGTAAAAAATGTTTGGCTGCAAGTTTTTGAAGGCTGGACATGCCCCGTGGGTGTAGGGGGAGTCTGACGTGAACAGGGAGCAGAAACCTGAACAGAAAGGGGAGGAGGCAAAAACAGTAGAAGCAAAAATGTATCAGGCTTGAAAGTGTGCCAAGGACAAAAACTGATTGCAGGAAACATTTCTGTCCCCATGTGTAGGATTTTTTTTTTTTTTTTCTTTCCCCTCTCGTTAAAAGACCTTGCACTGATCATGTGCTGGTGGTGGAGCCAGGGTCCCGCTGCTCTCACATCCTAGTGTCGGTGGCAGGGCGTGTGAAGCCGTCTGCAATAACCAGAGGGCTGCTGAGGGCTCCTTCAGCTGGAGGAAGCGGCATAGTGCCAGCCTGGGCTGGTTTCTGTGATTAAGTCTCTGCGGGTGTGTCAGTTAAAACCCCGCACGGGAGCGGCGCAGCACAGGCAAATGCGAGCAGAGCCCAGCCGGAGCAGTTGTGGCGTCAGCTGAGAAGAGATGGCCTCGGCAGGTCCCCATGCGGCCTCCACGCAGCCCCCCTTGCCCTCCGGACCGGCCGTCTTCAAAACCGTCCCCTACGCGTTCATCCTACCGGAGATAGTGAGTATGCTGAGCTTTCCTGCGTTACAGGACCCCACTAATGGCTCTAGTAAATAATGGGGCCAAAAATCTGTGAATAGCCCCCAAAACGATCCTGAAGACAGCTTTAATGGGAAATAACATCTTTTCTTTTAGCTTATATTGAACACACAAAGGTAGTTTTCGTGACGTGGGTTTTTTGGAACAACTTGAGGACAAGAAACACTCCAGCTCCATGCCAGAGCCCATGCGAGGGTCACCGGCTGCCGTGTAAATAATGGGGCCAAAAATCTGTGAATAGCCCCCAAAACGATCCTGAAGACAGCTTTAATGGGAAATAACATCTTTTCTTTTAGCTTATATTGAACACACAAAGGTAGTTTTCGTGACGTGGGTTTTTTGGAACAACTTGAGGACAAGAAACACTCCAGCTCCATGCCAGAGCCCATGCGAGGGTCACCGGCTGCCGTGGGCTGAAGAGCTGCCGGTGCCTCCAGGGCAGCAGCAGCTCTAGTTATCGCATAGAAATTGCTTGAAAAATCAAGGGAATTTCATTCTCTGTATTAAGTCTTTCCAAGGGCTTGAAGGCAATTGGGTGTCATCATAACGTATAACATTCCAGCCTTCTTTCAATTGCTTATGGGTCCAGAGGGCATCCAGTGGGACTGGCCGAGATAACCGCTGGTGTACTTTGACACATTACACAGCGCTGGTGACCCACATCACCCGTGTTCCATGGGCGCGATCGCTGTGGCTGGGCTTTGCCATGAGCTGCCCGTGCCAGCGGGCTCAGCTCCCTGCTGCAAATCTGGGGGAGTTTCATCCACTGCAGCTGGAACGGCACAGGGTGGCGTGGAGCTTATCCTGATAACCCTGCGTGCTATTTGTGCACAGTAAATATTTCAGGTGGATCCAGAGTGTGTGACTTGCTCTGGGCTGGTGCATGGAGTCAGGAGGAGACTTCCTTCTGCTGTGATTTCAAGCTCAGGAGATTGATGAGTGGGCAGGGCTGGGCTGATGCAGGCTGTTGACCTTTTCCGGATAAAAACACATTTTCTGGCTTCTTCACCAAAGCCCTCAGGGTGAGATGTTTCCATGCATCAAAAACAGCAGCAAACCTTTCCCTTTTGCAAGAAACATTTCGAAGTACTTCCCAAGAGCGCTCAAGGAAACTTGTGCCAGCTTGCGGTGCTGCTGTCGTGCCGGGATGCTCCGGGAGGCTGGTCCACGCTGCCCAAAGATGCAGGGCTTCCAGCGGCTGCTGGGGCTGGCCTGGGAGGGAGGCAAGAAGGGGCTTTCCCTATCCCGTGCTCATCGGAAGTGCCTGTGTTTGTCCCTGGTAGTTCTGCGGGACCTGGGTGTGGATCCTCGTCGCTGCTACCTCCGTCTCCTCCCCGCTGCTGCAGGGATGGGTGATGTACGTGTCCCTCAGCTCCTGCCTCATCTCCCTGGTGCTGCTCTTAAGCTACCTCTTCGGCTTTCACAGAAACAGCGACAACTGGAAAGTCCTGGTAAGGAGGGGCTGCAACACCAGCAGATGTTGGCAGCAGCAATGTGGGCCCAAGACCACTGTGGCTGGCGATAAGTTAGCTGGCCAGCTGCCAGCCCTTCTGCAAACAATCGGCCCTTTCCTCTTTCTGCCTTGACTGGAAATCTCGGGGGGAGCTGTGCTACGCCATTGCCACTGCGTGGGTGTGTGGGAGAGTTCGGCATGGCAGAAGGGTTTGGTCCCAGCCCCTATCCTAGTGTCCTGTTTGAGCACTCGCACATGCAGAGGATAGACCTCATCCTCAGGGTGAATCAGAGAAGGATGGTCGTAGGCAGGCTTTGATCCTCACCGCTCCCCTGTTTTGCAGGACAGTTTGTACCACGGCACCACAGCCATTCTGTACATGAGCGCTGCTGTCCTGCAAGCCAACGCAACCATCAACTCTGAGTTTGGCCCCAACTCACCGCTTTACTACCAGCTCAACAGCGCCGCATCGGTGAGTTGGCCCAGAAAAGCCCAGGTGGGCTGGAACACTCACAATTCCCCTTGGGGAGATGCAAGAGCAAATACTAAAGCCACAGCAGAGCCATCCCAAGCCCAGCAGCATCACACTGGCTCCTCATCTCTGTTGCATTGTGCAGCCAGCGTGGGCTTCTCAGGGTCCAGGAGCCCATGGGCAGCCTTGTGTGGGTGTCTCCTGGGAAATGCCGGAGGGCTTTGCCTGTTCTTTGAGGCTGGAGAGAGTTCTAGACTGGGAGGTTTCCCCAGGTAGAGAGAACCAAGAGGTGATGGGGTTAGACTCTCCCAACTCACCCCATCTTTTGCTCTTCTTCCTCTCATGCAGTTCTTCGCCTTCGTGACCACCTTCCTGTACATCCTCCACGCCTTCAGCATCTACTACCATTAAGCCCAGCAGTGTTGGCTTTGCCTCTGCAGGACTGAGGGCTTTCTCAGTGCGAGGGATGCAGCTGTCTTCCATGAAGGTGTCCCTGCCCTGGCCCTGTCACCCACCCTGTGGGGACAGCCGTTACTTTTTCACTTCACTGAAGGAGGGATTTTCGTACAGTGGTGTCATGTCGGTGTGCTTGTGGGGACATTTGGTGCCTTGCCCATGGGCTACGCAAGGGGAGGGACTGGGTGCAGGCTCTGAGCCAGCCTTCCACTCTGACGTTCCGCCAAATATAGATGACCAAGGAAAGAAAAAGAAAATCACTGTTTCTTCAGCAAACAATTTCCTTTCTTATATTATTTTCCTGTCTCTGGTTCAGCAAGATCACTCATCAACACATAAATTCGTAACAATAATACAATATTGTGTTCCTTGACTTCCAGATAATTTCATTTGGTATATGCAGTACTTAGAATAAAGCATTTACTAACAGTGTCTGACCAAATAGACTTTGACCACTATATAAGCTATGTTCATTGAACAAGCTGATTTTACTCTGTAAGTTAAGAATTTCCTTTCAAAAAACAGAAAATGTTCAGACTTAGAAAGCTACAACAGACTTTTCAAACAAGTAAATCATAGAACTTCTAACAAACTTCTAGATAAAGTATAAAACTACAGCATGAAAAGACTTATTACTACAGTTATTTACAGTAGTTCTTCTCCAGTGTCTGCTAATTGCCGTTACAAAATCTGAAGCCACAGAGCTCAGTCACTGGCAACACCATCACCTAGCACCGGTGTTACAGGTGTCCCTCCTCTCTGCATTGTCAGTGGTGCAGTGACTGGTAGAAGGAGGTCCCTCCTCTCTCTGCCCCAGATAATCCTCCGCTTCTGGGATAGCGTTGACTCGCAGTACATCTAAGTAGAGAAGGTAGTCCTGGAGACAAGCTGGCAATGGCAATTCCCGGATAAATCGGTCTGATCGCAGGCGTTCACTCGTTAAAATGGAGCGGATTTCAAGACGACAAAGATGAGACAGGGACGGAATGAAGGCTGTAAAATTAAAAAAACAAGTCAAATGCTGAACAGGACACCATGGGATTACATTACTTGCCTATGGTTACCTGGTTTAGCTGGATCCCATCTGAACCCCTCAGTCTCTGGCAGATAATGAGGCAGAGTTCTCGATAGCAAAGGGCTGTTGCCTGCTAGAATCAGCACTTTTAGAATTCCCCTACAGGAGCTAGAAAAGTTACCTTAAATTTCTAGAAACAAAGTGTCAGTGAATCATTTAATGCTTAATCAGCAAGTTTCATCTAACCAGCCTGGAACAGCTAACTGCTTGGGGAAAGAAAGGCTCATGCCACCTTACAAGAAATGAAAAATTAAGTCCAGAAGTAAATCCAGTAACAAAATAACACAAGGGAAAACACTTTTAGGATAAGTGTTAAATGACAGCATGACTCAGTTGGCATATGATGCCGAATGTTCTAACATGTTGCTAAATAACGTGACTTAGGACAACTGCTGTGTCAAAAAATACACAAACAGGTCTGTAAATGTGCATTCGCTCAAACACAAACTTTCATATGATAGATCAACTTATCCCCAAACAGAACTCTAGTGTCTCCAAACTCTCCCAGAGTGGCTACTCCATTAATTTTATTCACAAGGAATCTCTAATATTAAACTGCAATCATTGCTGTATTTCAGAATAGAAGGGTATGGCAGGTGTGTAACTCCATGGAACCGTACCTTTTGTAAGCCTTCAGGTGGAGCTGTGTATTGGGTTTGTGTGGCAAGGTTTCGGTAGGGGTGGGGCTACAGGGGTGGCTTCTGTGAGAAACTGCTGGAAAGTTGCCCAACGTCTGACGGAGCCAATACCAGCCGGCCCCAAGAGGGACTCACTGCTGGCCAAGGCTGAGCCCACACCAGCAAGGAGAAGGGGGAAAAAACCTGCACAACACCAACTGCAGCTGGAAAGAGGAGTGAGAAT